TTTATTCCAGGCCTGGCTTTTTACTGTTTCTCAGTGCCTGGATGCTGGCACGAAGGAATGAGCCTGCCTTGGGTGAGCCCAACAAACTTAGGATCTTTTATTTTTTTTTTAAGTTTTTATTTATTTGACAGAGAGAGAGCACAAGTAGACATAGAGGCAAGCAGAGGGAGGGGGAGAAGCAGACTCCCCACTGAGCAGGGAACCCGCCATGGGGCTCATGACCTGAGACGAAGACAGCTGCTTAGCTGACTGAGCCAACCGCACACCCTCGAACTTAAGATCTTTTGCCACGTTGGGACACGGATATGCCTCTGAGAGCCCATCCTTAACAAGCTGGCACTCACTTTTCCCAGAAAGGTCCTCCCCCAGGATTCTAGACATCTCAGGGGCTAGGTCTTTATTAGCCTGAGACTTGGAACATCTACCTCAGCCTCTGCCCCAAGTTCAAGGGCAGAGACCAAGGACACCTTTCAAAGGATCACAGATAGAGGCATGATGGGCTGGTGGGCACTTGGCTCCAGCAAACTCCCAACCCTGGGGCTCTTCCCATTCCCACCACCCACAGGCCATGACAGGTCCAAGGATGGGGCAAGTCCAAAGCCAGCTGTGATGACAGCTGCTCCATGTTCAGCCACCGGGAGGCCAGTGTGCTCAAAGTACGTGTCTGTAGACAAGAGGGCGAGATGCTCATAAAATAACTTCTTCCTCAGTCTCACTAACAATGAGACTGTCAGTTCCCAGAAATGTGAGCAGCACAGTAAACCTTGCTTGGCTTGGCGCTGTCCGCAGCCTGATTTCCCTAACATATAAAGTGGGCTTATTCCACTTTGATCCCTCCTTCCCGCTCTACCTCCCAGGGCTATGGTAAGGACCAAAGGAAATGCTATAAATGAAAATGCTTTGTAAAGGGCTTTGTAAATTACAGTGTGCTGTTCAGACACTGGTTATGATGATGACGATGATGATTCAATCAGAGTTCCCCATCCCCTGGGTGGCAGTGATTGGTAGGGTAGACGCAAACCCAAGTCAGCTAATCAGTCCTTCCCAGGAATTCTCTGCCACAGCTATCGAAGAGGACTGCTGCTTTCTGCTGAGTCCAAGGAGTGCTGAGTCTGGGGCTCTGGATGGCCACCTTGTCTGCCCCACAAGGAGGAGAGAATTAGAGGTGGAAAGAGGCTCAGAGCCCTCACTACAATGTTTGAACCCCTGGATGCAGCTATGCCTGAAACCAGGCAACTCTGAGATCTACCATTACATGAACCAACTTCCCTTCTTTCTACCGTAGGCTGGTTGGATTGTGTGTTTGACATTTATAACTAAAGGAATTCCAAGTATCTCTTGGGTGCATTTTAATCATTTAAATATTAGTTTTCTAATCATAAAATAAAGTTTTTAAGGGAAAAGCTTTGTTAAGGTTTTTTTTAAGTTAGTATACCTATGAACAATGCAAAGAAGCAGAAAAAGCACTGAACAGAGAAATAAAAAAACATGTATTCTCTGCTTGTTCCCACAGGAATTACTGTGTGACTTTGAGTAAGTGTCCTAACCTGCCTAAACCTCATAAAATAAGGAATTGGAGTTAATGATGTTTAAGGTATTTAACAGCATGAAATGTCTTCAATTCCATAAAAGAAAATCCAATTAGTCTAATACAAAGTGTTCTTAAGAAAGACTTTCTAGGGGTGCCTGGGTGGCTCAGGGGGTTAAGCCTCTGCCTTCAGCTTGGGTCATGATCTCAGGGTCCTGGGATCGAGCCCCACATTGGGCTCTCTGCTAGGCAGGAAGCCTGCTTCCCTCTCTCTCTGCCTGCCTCTCTGCCTACTTGTGATCTCTCTCTCTCTGTCAAATAAACAAATACAATCTTTAAAAAAATAAAGAAGAAGAAGAAAACTTTCGAGGGGCACCCGGATGGCATGGTCAGTTAAGTGTCTGATGCTTGCTTTCTGCTCAGATTATGATCTTAGGGTCCTGCGATCGTGAGAGCAAGCTCCATCTGAGATCAGTGTAGGTTTTGCTTGTGATTCTCTCTCCCTCTCTCTCTGTCCCTCCTGCTCCTGTTCTCTCTCTCTATAAAAATAAATAAATCTTAAAAAAAAAAAAGACTTTCTGTATACATGTTAAGAACAAAGATTAACAATTTAAAATCAGCATCAAGTACTTATAATCTTTTAAACTGACAAGCTGCATATGAGATGTCCTCCCATATGAAAGTTAATATGAATTCATATATGAATATGAAAATATTCACTGCAAATTGGAAAGACTGGAGACAAAAATTGGGAACAACCTGGTTAAAATAGTTGTGGTACATTCATACAATGGAATATTGTGTAACTGTAAAAAAAGAATGAGGAAATTCTTTATATATTGATAGGGCCGATGCCTGAGGCACATTTTTCACTGGAACGGGCAAAACACAAGGTGGCCTGCTATGTCAAAAAACGAGGAAAAGGTCACAGGGATGTAATTCTTGGTGTGCACATAGACAATCTCTTGAAGGGTCTGAAAAAAATGCTGCCGCTGATGGGCCTGATTGCCTCTTTGAGGACTAGGTCTCATTTTTCACTCTGCATACAATATACACTTTTTATCCTTGGAATGTCAAAACATGTGACTGTGTCGGTTACTCAAATTTTTCAAAATTTTAATTAAAAGAGTAAGAAGGGGGAGGGGCAGTAAAAAAAGGGGGGGGGCAAATACTATTACATATGACTTAGGTGATCCTCATGGTTAAGTGGAAACCCAACTAGGAAACCCCAAGTACCACTGTGCCCATGTATAGATGGGAAAATATACCCAGAGGGTTCGCACGCTCCGCCACCAAGACACACCGAGCTAGTGGCAGACACATCAGCAATACCCTCCCTTCAAAATCTGCACAGAAGACTCAGCATGGAGTCAGCCTCCCACTACAGCCCCTCCTGCAGAGCTCCGGAAGGGGTAGAATGAAACTGGTCCCAGTAAGGATCGCACTCATCCATGGCTCTTCCAAAGAAACAGGATCAATGATTCTGGAACAAAGAAGGAGGAAGTCCCCACCTCTAAGATAAACTGTTCATATTGATAATTGCTCATGTTTAATAAAGAAACAGGGGTGACACGCCACGCGGACTTCTGATCTGGCCACGTGGGAGTTTTTAAAACCAGTGTTTCCCCAAACTTCAGTGTGCATCGTGGGAAATGCAGTCCTCGGGGATATGGTAAAATGCAGACTCTGACTTAGCAGGTCTGGGGTGAGGTTCAAGATTCTGCATCTCCACCAAGCTGCCTGTGCGGTCAAGACCACACCCACCAATATGGGCACCCCTAGCCACGTTTGGGCCTGCGATGTGGCCAGTCTGTAAGGAGATGGGCTAAAAGTGTAAATTCACACTGGAATTTTAAAAACAATACAAAAAAAGAATGTATACTACCTCACTCATCATTTCTATATTGATTACATGCTAAGATGATAATATTACTGCTGTGTTGGGTTAAATAGAATCTATAATTAAAATTAATTTCACCTGGATTTTTTCCCCTTGTTTAATGTGACTACCAGAAAGTATAAAATGATACTTGTGGCTGGCATTATATCTCTACTGGATTATGCTGCTCAGGGAGACTTGGCCCTCCATCAAACTCCATCCTTTTTTTTTTTTTTAAGATTTTATTTATTTATTTGACAGAGATCACAAGTAGGCAGAGAGGCAGGCAGAGAGAGAGAGGGGGAAGCAGCTCCCTGCTGAACAGAGAGCCCGATGTGGGGCTCGATCCCAGGACCCTGAGACCATGACCTGAGCCAAAGACAGAGGCTTTAACCCACTGAGCCACCCAGGCACCCCCAAACCCCATCTTAAGAAGAAAGTTTGGAACAATCTCAGTCACCACCCAGAAGTGTTTGCAAGGGTCTGAAAATTCCACAGGGCCATTGAGAACTTGGATGGAGCTCACTGAAAAACCTAGCCCCCACCCAACTCCAACAAATAAAACTTTTTTTTTCTTTAAGGATTTTATTTATTTATTTGAGAGAGAGAGCATAAGTGGAGAAATGTCAGTGGGAGAAGCAGACTCCTTGTCAAGCAAGGAGCCCAATGCGGGACTCGATCCCAGGACTCTAGGATCATGACCTGAGCCGAAGGCAGTCGCCCAACCAACTGAGCCACCCAGGCGCCCCAAATAAAACTTCTATGACGAGTGGAAATCTGGGTTAAAATAAACAATTGAAACAGGTTAACCATAGAACCATGAGTGAAAGCATCCCAAACAATTGTGAACAGAGATTTTGCAGAGAAGACACAGCCTGAGAAGTCAATATGGAAAGGTAGGCGTGAGGGAACCTTGCCAGGCAGCCTTCCTTAGTCAGGTCTGTGTTGTTTGGTGACAGTGGGAGGGGACATGTCAGCTCTACCTTTGTTCCACTTAAAAACACTGTTCCTACCACCCTGAGTCACCTCCCAGCCCTAGTAGCACCCCCAAAACCAGAGGCTCCCTGAAAGATGAAGACCCAGGGCGATCACTTGGCCTTACTACAACCCAGACACAGGTCTGAAGGTAGCCATCGAGTCAGAAGTGTTCTAACAGGTCAGTGGTCTGGAAAAGTAACTGGTTCCTTCCGCATGGCCACAAAGCACTCAGCATCACCTAGAGGCAAATTTTGAACTCAGACTCTTCCATTTCCATGCCCAGATGGGTTCTGTTTTTTACAGTTCCTGGGGCCCTGTCCAGAAAGCCATTCCTCCTGGGCCTGTTCCCACCCTTGCCTGCTTGCTTTACCCCATGGGGTGGCAAGAGGGAGATGAGAGGAAAGGGAAGGCACAAGACACCAGAGGGAAGAGATGCTTGGGAGAATACGTGGACATGTTTACACAAGAGAACAGGCACAGAGGCACACCTTTGGGCACCGTGGGCCAGGTTCACTCTCCCATGGAACTTAGCTCTATAGACAAAGGAGCAAAGCAACCTTGCCTGGGCCAGCCCAGACCTCCCCACCTCTCCCACCAGCTCCAGAAGGCACTGACCAGGTTTTATTTCCAGCAGCCGAAGCTTTGGATCCTCAGGCGGGTGCAATCGTCTCTTCTTACGCCAGCAGCGGGCAGGGTATGTGTACAGCTGGCCCGGGGCGAGGCCTGTGGACAGAGACAGCATAAAGGTTAAAGGCTTCAGGCTAGCAGGGGCCTTGGAAACCTTCCTGTCCAAGCTCCTCACTCACAGTGAGAGGAAACTGAAGTCCAGAAAGGTAATGTGACTTGTCAAGGTCATGCAGCTGGTCAACAGTAGAGCAGAGGCAGTATCGAGTTCATCTGACCCTAGGACCCTTGCCCTGTCTGCTCCACCATGCTGTCTCTGTAAGCCCGTGACCATCATCACCATGACCAAGACAGCTCTCCTCTCCTGGTCTGGGGAGATCAGAGGGACCTTTCCAGATTCAATCTTACTATGGTGTTTCCAAGGCAGTGGACTCCAGCTTCTACCCATCAACTGCCCCTCTCTACAGATGTAGGTTAAGCAGGTTCTCTTCAAGGCAAAGCAGCAGAAGTCAGTCTGCCTACCTACAGATGGCAGGGATTGGGAAGCATTTCAAGGAAACCGGATCAAGGAACCAAATCTCCTACCTACTGACTTTCTCCACCCGCTGTTAGTTGCTGGCAGCTCACTGAAGCCAGTGGGAGCCCCAAGAACCTCCAGAGGAATAGAAGCCTACTCTGGAGACCAGGCTCCTTGGCCTGCAGAGCCAGCATCCTTCTACATCCCTGCCCCCTTGACTGGGCCTTACAGAAAGAAATGGGCAAGAGTCCAGTGGCTGGGCTGATACACCAACCAAACTGTCTCTCCAGAGTCTCCATTTCAATTTGGCCTTCAGCAACAAAGTTCCACACCAGCATCATCTTTATAACCACCACCCCAGGAGGAGCCTTCTTACCTATCAGACAACATTCTTACGGCTCCTGGGGCATTTAGTGTGGCAGCCAGACGACTTGGAGAAATGTGGGTGGACTTTTCACTTCCGACCACGGGCTATTCCAAAAAAAGGGGCAGAGGGTGGAGGCTAAGGGGAGAAGGAGAGGGGCTTAAGACTGGGTAGGTGGTGTGCAGACTGAAAAGACTTGCCTGGTGCACCCCAAAAGAAACAAGCAGAAGCTAAGCAATCCACTCCTGTTAGAGTAAAAATCCTGGTAAAGACTGAGACTTAGTCTCATCCTCATCAGAATCCCCAGAACCCTCTGTGTGACACCTAGAAGAATCAAACTAAACATTTGCTGAATGAATGAGTAAACAAATACATTCCCACTTCACTGTGATCAGTCACAACTCAGTCTTCTGTAGGTAAATGGGGCATGTGACGACCACCATCAGACCCACGTGGGAAGGTCACTTCCTAGACCTAGGACCACAGAGATAGAAAATATCACGACTCTGTTTCCATCCGCTGTCTGCCATTTGGGGACCTTCTGCCGAGACGATCTACAAAAGCTTTGCTGCTATATACCCTTTTATTCATTTTTCATTCTTACTAGTCTTCTCTACCCATTTATTGGTTTGGATCCAAAGCAGAGACAACTATTCCAGCACTATAGGAAGCAAAATTTTCAAATACTCTTTCTGTGCTAAGTTTCATTTTTAACCACATAGCTGTTCCCACAGGTTGCAAGGCAATGAAAAAGCTGGAGATCCCCTACCCCCTCCCCATTTGGGTTCTCAGAAACCATTAGGGTCATGGAGCCTAGAGGCTCCAGAAAAATCTCTGATGTCATACACTAATGGCTTTTCATGTCCAAGAGTCATCCTAATACTTATTTTGTTGCTAGCTTCATAGCTTCTGCATAGTAGGAAGATCTCAAAGTTCTGAGCTCCCTGTGCTCTGAGGAGCAGGTTTGTGGTTGATTGGAGAAGAATAAATGAATCAAAGTAAGATTACTCTCCCTTCCACGGAAGGCCCAGTTTTGACCTATTTTTGAAGGAAGGCATCACCGGGAACAGTTTGATGTTTCTGATGTGATTGACTCCAGGGCCATGTCATCTCTGACCCTAGAATTCCTGAATGGCTGCATTGTTCTGGTCCCTTGAGCCACCTCTGGGGCTGATATGCCCCAGGATCCCAACAGAGGCCAAGTACAAGGGCTGAGCCAGTACTCTACAACCCAGAACCAGCCCCACAAACCCCCACTCATCTTGAATTAGTGATTCTTTATCCAGAATGAACCTAAAAATCTAGACTGAACCTGGAGAACTTCTTAATAATAGTAAGGCCAAAAATTCATTCCAGAACTACCCACTCTGAGTGTAAATGGATGGAGGAATTAGGCCAACTATTTTTTAAAGAAAAAGTTCAATTAAAAAAATCTATAAGTTTTTTCCAATGTCTGGCCAAGAACCCCTGGAGGTCTAAGCATCATCTCGTCACTTGCCTGGATATTCTCTCTGATGTACCAAGACTGGTTTCATGGCCTTCCCAAAATCATCTCAAGGTTCCAGTGTTTCCCCCAACATGCTGTCATTAATTTCCAGCTTACTGGACTATCTCCCCTACCAGTTTTATAAGACCCAGGATGACAGGAACTATATCCATCTCTAGTATCCCTAATACTTGGCACAATCCCTGGTAGACATATCAAGAAGTACTTATCAAATGAATTCAACCAGAACTGAATCAGATTCAGAAATGCAGGAAGTGAATGACCTGTTATTCCTGGTTCCAGGAGACTCATGCACCCACATCCAAACCATCTAAGAGGGACCACAGAGATAGGCCCAGGAGTGAGTACAGAACTCAACCCAAGATGGCGGTCTCTGTGCCTTAAATTCCTTCTTGCCCCGCACTCTGCTTCATAGTATTTCCAACCTGACCAAGGGCAGGTGAGGAAGAAGGGACTAGTGCAGACAGCACTTTGAAAAGATCTAAATGACAAGAGGTCAGAATTGTCAACACTTGCCCCAGGGCCTCTGCCCTCCCTGCCACCCTAGTCCCTGCACTTGTTGGCCAGCGGCCTCAAGGCAGCCTCGGGCCACTCTCTAGCTGCAGACCCGCTCATTCTCTTAGTAGTAGGTAGTCTAAATGGCCAGAAGAGGGGACTATTTTTATACCACTCTTTAACTTTCTCTGATGGATTATAGAAGGCCCACAGGGCAGAGGAAGAGCACATGAGTCTTCATACCACCACTCATGTAACCTTGGAAATATCACCACGCATTTCTGAGCCTGTCTCCTTACCGGTAAGATAAGAAAGTTAATAATAGCTACCTCACAGGGGCTGTTGTGGGGATTAGCTTAAATTCAAGAAGAAGCTCTTTGTAACCATGAAGCCTGGTGCAAATGTCAGTTACTAATTATCATGAGTTAGCTGACTTAGATGAGTATGGACGCCATGGCCGTGTGGCATGACAAGGCCTCCACCCCGCGTGCTTCTCTTTGATGTCTGCCTTGACTCCACCTCATCTCAACAAGCAAATGGCCCCAAGAACTCTCTCGGGGCTCCAGCCCCCCTTCTTTGCCCTCCTCCCTAGGCTGACAAGCACCAGGGTGCCTTTATAGGGCCAACACATTCAGCCCTGGAGTTCTACTTAGAGAGGGACGAGCAGAGCCCCGTGAGAGTTATGTTGTTTATCTCATTAGAACAGGAGGCACATAACTCACAGCCTGTGTGTGTGGTAGATGGAGGAGGGAGGGAAGGGGGAGGAGGAGGAGGGAGTCACAGCTGTAGCCAGGGAAATTAACCTGAAGGAGTGAGCCTGGGGCTAGGGAGAGGATGGAGGAGGGAGGAAAGGAGGCAGGACACAAGAGGGGGACCAGTCTTTCCTGGTAACCAAGGCCACAGCCACCTTCACTAAGCAAACTGCTTTTCTGTCACTTTGAGCTACAAGTCCAGCTACACCACCCATCCTCATGTGCCAGCACAGACATCTCTCACACGCAGACACACACACATACCCACACAGGAACTCACACACTTGCTAGAGGGAGAACTGTCTCCAAAGAAAAAAAATAGCAGGGTGGGCTTTGATGCCTGGATGGTCAGCAGACTCCAGACAAGTCGCTTGTTACCAGCATTGACCAAATCACCAAGGGGGATCCTCAGTGTCATGGTTATCTCTGACAGACACAGCATAAGCTATTAAGAAATTATTAAGAAATCAGAAGAAAAAGTGGGATAGAAAAGAGAAGGCAGGATGACAGGAGCTAGGAACAGGGTTTGAAAAAGAAGAGAAGAACTGGAGTAATTCCTCTTCCCCCAGCCAGGGTTGCACGGTGGCAGTTCAAGCCCGCCCTGCCGCATCTCAGAGAGGTGGACCAGCAGGCCGCCACCAAACACTCCCGGTAATGGAAACCTCACTGCTTCACCGGACAGACTTCCTGTAGCTGGTCAACTCTCATTGTGAGAAACAGTTTTGCTTCACCCTCATTTTGAATCAAAATCTACCTTCCTGTAGCTTACGCCAATTTGTCCACTCTCTGTCCCCAGGGTGGACAGGTATCACCTGTATCTCAACCATCCTTCCCGTCCACTCACTTGGGTTTGAAGGACAGCCTACTGAGAGGCCGAGGAACTAGAGGGCATGGGAGTTACAGGAGAGAGGCAGTGACCGCACCTGCTCAGAACCGGGATAATAGGATTCAAGGTTCCAAATTAAGAATCCAAACACCGCTTCCGTTTCATCATCTCCCCTTTGCCCACCCCGCATTGGACAGGAAAGGGATGGAACAGCAGGCTTCTCTTCAGACATCACTGCCATTAAAGAGCTCCTCTGCATGTTGCTCCTACTCAATGTCTCCACACTGGGTCACCAACAGCCTCCATATTTATAAACAGATAATGACACAAGCCAGGGGTTCTTCACTAAGGCTGGGCATCAGAATGGCACAAGTAGTTATTGGAAAGGACAGATGCCTGGACTCCAGCTCAATCCTACTAAATCAGAACATCAGAGATAACCAAGGCCATTGTTGTTTGGAAAACTCCTACATGAGGATGCTACCAGATCAACTCTTACTCATATTTATATTCCCAAGGCCCAGGACATAACAGGTGCTCCATTAATGCTTGTGGCTGAAATACCAACTTGGACCAACTCTACAGAGCTGGAGGGATGAGCCATAACTCCAGAGGCAGGTCTTGAGGAGTAGGCAAGA